TTTGAATTCTGGAATTTTTTATTTAGATCTTAAAAACTATCAAACTCAAAGGTTTGTTCTGTATTAATTAAAAAAGGAAAAACTCCGAACGCGTGGAATTTCACAATTACTGATTTAGATCTCAGAAGCTGTCAAACTCGAAGGTTTGTCCAGGTTGAAAATGTCAAAGTCAATTAGGGAGGGGAAACTGAAAGGACTCAGCACAAAGCAAAAGTGGAAAGACCACTCCGTGGAAACGGGGAAATAACGATCGCCGATAAAACGAAAGAGCGCAACGCCATGTTCGGGGCGTTAATTACATCGTCGCGCCGCGGCCATGTACTTTCAGTTTTCCGCGCTTCCGTTTCGGAGAAGTTGTAATTAGAATACTTGGCTGTTCGGCTGATGGACGCGTCGTGGCCACCGGCGTAAAAAAGAAACCACACATAAACGCTGGCGAACGACCTCGCTCGTACGTGTACGTGTTGGGATATAATCTGTAAAAAGCGCGTAGCACAGAATGATCACCGGGCGTGATTACGATCGAAGAAGCAATGAAAACTCGGTGTTGCGCTCGAGAGAAACGCGGCGTATCAAAGAAAAAAAAAAAGAAAAAAGAACGCCAGGTTAATTAAAGATGAAATAAATCGCTGGTGTAATAAAACACTTCTCTGACGTTGATGGCTCAGGTTTAAACGATGTTTCAGGCTTTGGATGTTCGTAATTTCTTTTCCTTCCTTTTTTTTTTTTTTTCTTTTTATTCCCCGTTCTTTCCGCTTTTGTAGAGTTGCCTCGCGAGAGAAATATCAGTTCTGCAAGGAATTCTCTCTTGAGTAACGAAGAGGAAAGATACCGTTTGTCGAAGAGATCGCAAGAGATTCGGTTAGGCTACTCACTTTCTTAATTTTCTTCTGCGTATTTTCGAGCAAGTGGTTTTGCTTCACACTGTAAATTATTATGACTGTCGAGTGATGATAATTAAAATGACAAATAGAATGTGTTTCTGTCTATGTCCTTTAAATGAAAATTTAACTTTCCAATTGGAGGTTCTTTGGAAAATAAAATTATAATTGTTTGAATCAAGTTAATGGCCATTTAGGCTTCCTCCACGTCAGAAGATTCACTTGTTTTGAACAATAAAAATTATTCAGTGTCACAGGGATGGAGGACATCAGGATTTTAGAGATGCTTAGGCGAAGCATGGCCAGAAAAACGTTAGGAACTACTTCTAAGTCTAACTAGAAATCAATATTAATTTTGACAAAAAAAAAAATGTACCAATTGTAAAGAAATCTGAGATCCGTCGAATATACCTGAAATAAACGTAATCTGTAATAGTAATAATAAAAGTAGCAAAACGTAAAAAAAAAAAAATAAAATAAACGGATAAATGACTGCGAGAAAGATGATCGGAAGTTAAAAATAATACGGAAGAAAATGGATGTTGTCCTCTCGGTTAAAATAACACGGAAGATGTTATCGAAACTCCATTCTATTAAAGTTCATCTTCAAGAATCTCGAGTCTCGTCTCATCGAATCGATTACCTCCATAGAGGAAACCTGCTCTATGGAAGACAATTCATAATCAACACGCTTGTTTCGTCCGATCGAACGCTAACGAGCCATTGCAATATTTCTGTGTTTTTTTTTCTTTTCTTTTTTTTTATTCAAAGTAACCTCTATAATAGTTAACTCGTTTCCAAGTTTCGATTACGAAGTATCTTGGATACTACACTTTGATTTAAAATATAATTTTATGAAAATTTTAATTTATAATTAATTTTTTTATTCGAAGTAACCTCTATAATAGTTAACTCGTTTCCAAGTTTCGATTACGAAGTATCTTGGATACTACACTTTGATTTAAAATATAATTTTATGAAAATTTTAATTTATAATTAATTTTTTTATTCGAAGTAACCTCTATAATAGTTAACTCGTTTCCAAGTTTCGATTACGAAGTATCTTGGATACTACACTTTGATTTAAAATATAATTTTATGAAAATTTTAATTTATTAATTAATTTTGTTCTTATAAGTTTTAATAACAACAATACGTGAATGTAATTTAATGTAATTTAAGTATTCCTTATCGTGGATTATCAAATTAAACAATAAACAATTTCCCTGAAAAGATTAAAAGGCCGCCGTGTTACTTTATTTTTATGATTTAATTATAAAAATTATTTTTTAAATTAATATAATAGGGTATCTAATCCTAGTTTAATATTTGATCTTCATATATTTTAATTGCCTAGTTTTAATTAGGTAATTGATCCCGTACATAATCGCAGCTTTTCAACTCGTGGAAACATACTCCCGATCGAACAACGAAGAAAGTTGCAAACTGCTGCAAATGCGAAATAAATATCTGTGCACGTAACTGGTAAATTTAGGGGGGATTGGATTAGGTTTCGCGTGCACTTGCAATTAATTTGATTAAATAACGACGAAATATATATATTTTGCAAAATATCGTTTCAGTTTCTAGTTTAATAAAGAGTACTTAATCATGATTTTTGTCAAAAACATGGTAATATTCATTTGTCGCCTTTCTCTCTCTCTTTTCTCTCTTTTCTTAAATAATGCAATTGTACAAAATTTCATTCTGTTAACTAGCAGAATACCACGATCGATTAAAAATTTTCTAAATTCTAACGACTATCAGAGAAAACAATTGACAATAAAAATGTCCAATTTAGCAATAAAAATGTCCTTTCTGTCAATTTTGACTTTTAACAAATTGACTTTCCCGCAGATTTTTGCTCTGTTTTTTTTTTTTGATGAAATATAAATAAAGAAGAAATGTCAGATCTCAAGATGGAAGATCTTAAAAAAGTTCTCGAAGAAGACGAGACGAAGAAAGAGAGTGTATTTGAATATTATTAAATATTGTTAAATAATATATTAAAATGGTCTATTAAAGAATCTACGAAATGGTTTATCAAAGAGTGTATTTAAATATTAAACATTAGTTAAACAGCCAAAATGGGAATTCATCGGAAACGTAACGAGGATCCTCGCAAAAATTAATTATCGAAAATGATCGTGTCCGATTTCGTGCCTTCTAGTTCAATCTACATTGGATAGAACATAACACGAGAGTCGTTTCGCACTTTCTACCGATTAACGAATAGCAAACACTCGTTTATGCTAATCTCCCCGATAATTCGACGTTGTATTCGAATGCAAATTTCTCCCGAGAACACGTTTTCTTGCGAGGCGAAGACGCAATTTACCATTTCTTTATTTTTTCTTTTCTATTTTTTTTTTTTTTTTGTTTTGGCACATCCTTCCAAAACTCTCCACAAACATTTCAGAACAAATAAAAATCATGGAAACTCGTCAATCATTATCGAACAGCTATTTATTTTCACTCGAATGCAAATTTCTCCCGAGAACACGTTTTCTTGCGAGGCGAAGACGCAATTTACCATTTCTTTATTTTTTCTTTTCTATTTTTTTTTTTTTTTTGTTTTGGCACATCCTTCCAAAACTCTCCACAAACATTTCAGAACAAATAAAAATCATGGAAACTCGTCAATCATTATCGAACAGCTATTTATTTTCACTCGATACGTTTGATATTTTTACATGTACATGTATTTCTTCTCTTTTTTTTTAAATTTTTCGGTTTAAATATGCTTTTACATTTTACGTGCATCTTTTGTTCTTCTTTTAATTTTTCGTTTTAATAATAATTACTTTTCCTTTTCTCTCCTCATCGCCGACACTTCTTCTTCCCCCGTTTATCCTGGTTTTCAAAGTTTAAAGTTTAATGTCGCAAGCCGAAAGGCAGCTCCGCTCGAACGACTGACACTTAGGACAAAAGCGTCTGCTAGGACTTTTGTGATACTTCGAGCACCTGTCTGTCACTCGATACGATAAAACGAGAGGTTGATCATCAAACACACACACACACACACACACGCGCGTCTCTCGCTCGATATAATTGTAATTTCTTTCTGACCCTGTTTCTTCGCCCAACTCCAATACTTCGTCGAAATTCACACGATTAGAAGTGGTGTTTCTCGTATTCGTCGTAGCTGTTGTAGTAGGCCGGCGAGACGTATTTCGCGATGGGGATCGGTTTCGGATGGACGGCCGGCCCGACTTTCTTCACCACCGCGTTGAACCCGTTGTGATCGTCAGCTGTGTACTCGACGATCCTCACGCTTCCATCAGGCTCGTTGACGCTGTACGACCCGTGAACCACGTCGCCGTCGCGGACCTCGTGCTGGGTCTTCACGTCGCCCGTGTGCGGGTCGTGCACACCGTAATTGAACGTGTACTTTGGATGGGCCTGTAGTATGAAGAAGAACCTCTCGTCACTTGTAGTTTTCAATTGAATTTTCAATGAATCTTCTATTCTCGTAATTTGCGAGTGTGAATCGTTCATTTTTGCTCAGAGAAATTAGGGAATGTTTCAAAATGAATATGAAGCGATAAAAGAAGCGTTTGATTGTGAAAAGTAAATGTCTGATGTTTAATAAAAAATAAAATAAAAAAGTTTCTTTATTTTATCGCTTCATATTCATTATGAAATGTCCCCTAATTTTTATGAGCAGTATATATATATATATAATTTCATTTGTAATTTGCAAGTGTGAATCGTTCATTTTTGCTCAGAGAAATTAGGGAATGTTTCAAAATGAATATGAAGCGATAAAAGAAGCGTTTGATTGTGAAAAGCAAATGTCTGATGTTCTTGTTTAATAAAAAAGTTTCTTTATTTTATCGCTTCATATTCATTATGAAATGTCCCCTAATTTTTGTGAGCAGTATATATATAATTTCATTTGTAATTTGCGAGTGTGAATCGTTCATTTTTGCTCAGAGAAATTAGGGAATATTTCAAAATGAATATGAAGCGATAAAAGAAGCATTTGATTGTGAAAAGCAAATGTCCGATGTTCTTGTTTAATAAAAAAAATAAAATAAAAGAGTTTCTTTATTTTATCGCTTCATATTCATTTTGAAATGTCCCCTAATTTTTGTGAGCAGTATATATATATTTTTTTTTCATTTGTAATTTGCGAGTGTGAATTATTCATTTTCGCTCAGAACCTCTCGTCATTTATAGTTTTCATTTGAATTTTCTACGAATTTTTTACATAATTTGCGAGTGTGAATCGTTCATTTTTGCTTAGAAAAATTAGGGAATATTTCAAAATGAATATGAAGCGATTGATTCTTTTCTATCAAACAAGAACGTCAGAAAAGCAAACGACAAGTCAAATGTCTGATGTTCTTATTTAATAAAAAAGAAAATAAAACGCTTCTTTATTTTATCGCTTCATATTCATTTTGAAATGTCCCCTAATTTTTGTGAGCATAGTTGAGTATATATATATATATATATTTGCAACATTGAGTACATATATATATGTATATTTTCATTTGTAATATACGACTGTGAATCACTCGTTTTCAAACGTATTTCAAAAGTATATATATACATATATATATTTTTTTATATAAAATATAAAATGAATATAAAATATAAAGTAATATATATATATATATATATATATATATAAGAAAAATATATATATATATGTATATTTCTTTTTTTTTGCTCAACGTTGAGATTTTTCAAAATCGTCGAGATGAAAATTCCTTTTCATAGAAATAACGATCGAGGAGATTTCGTAACCGATCTTCGAAAGGAAGAGCCGATCGTCGCGAGAAAGCGTCGCGGAAGGTGTCCAAGCCAATTCCAACAAGGAATTTCAATTAGCACAGTCACGTGGCGCTCTGAATTATTTACGAACGCGAGTCGCTTGTAATTCGCTTGCACATCGACTCTGATTGCGAGCAATGCCAAATTAATGCAAACTGTTGAATAGCAGAGCGTAATTCCAACGACGAGTAATTCCAGTCGCTCGTTATGGTCCGCAAAACGGTTGTCCAGCGCAGGCGGCGTTAAATTTGAGAGAATACGCGATACGTGCGTACTAATAACGCTAATCGGCGATACGTTACGGAACAGAAACAAAATGACGCTACTACTTACGTAGTAATCGTGATCGTGATCGGCGTGATGATCGTATCCGTGATGTGGTCCGTGATCGAGGGACGCTGCGACGTGAACAGGCGAGGCGGATACCGCGTGAACCGGAACCGCCACCGTTGGCAGGACCGCGTGTCCTTCATACTGCACGGTGGAGTATCCATCGAGGCCCTCGTAATCCGCGTACGAGATCCCATGGCCGCCGTTGTACCCGCTCAAAACCACCGCGCCACTGAACGCGATCGTCGCGCCGAAAACGACGCAAAGAATCTGAAACTGCAATCGCATCCATTGAACTGACCGAGAAACTGGAATGAAAGCAAATGGAAAACTTGTGACTGGTGATATCTTTGAAATTCAGAAGGAAGAATTCTCGATAAACGAGAGAAGCCTCGTAGGATCGTGGCAAGTGGCTTGCGAAAGATTGTTCAGCCTCCAAAGGAGGGATAAAAAGGAAACATCGTTGCCGCTGGATTTTCTCGTGGAAATTCGCTACGAAATTCCTCTCACGGGCGGTTGATATGTCAAAGAGCTCGTAAAACGGAGAAGATCGAAGGCGGAGCGCCTCGTCCTGCCAACGCGAACGACATAAACGCAAGTTTTCGCAATGAGGTAACCGCGCTGAAGGAACGGTGATGCATTTAAATTGTTATCGAGTGCCCGAGTCTACGCGAGTTTTTTTCAGGGGAAAATATACGTGAAAGGTGGAATTACGAGTTCGTGACCTGCCATGGTAATTACGTGTTTGAGGGTATCTTAACTTTGGATGATTCATTGGTAGTAAAACAAAGATCGTTAACTAATCTTATGGCGACCGTTAACTAATCTGAAATCGACCTGATTAAATTAACGATACGGTCTCTCTTGCCGGAAATATCACGAACAATTTTCGTCTACAATCAAATTTATCAAGTTGACAAATTGACACTCGTCAAAAAGTGACACTCGATCTTCCTCGTGGTCGTTGAATGATTTTCTCGGTGACACGAGCTTGGAAAGCCGAAAGTCGAATATCGGTCTCGAGAAAGTTTCATCTTTCTTTCGCGTCGCCTCGTCGGCCTCGTCCCTCACCGAGAAAAGTGTCCTTTTTCACTTTCTCGGGTTGACCTTGCTCCGTGTAAGTAAACCAATACGAATCCACGGAAGTGGACACGCCACTTCCGCGGATCGCAGACCGCAAAACAGACCGTTCGACGGAAATTGTATCGTTTTGCCCGACGATAGAAAGGATCGAAACTACGACGACATACGTGTCTTTTTTTGAGGTCGTCGTACGTACGTGTAAAAAAACGAATCTTCTGTCACGATATTTGAAAAAGATCATTTCTTTTTCTTTTTTGTCCTGTTTCGAGACGAAGAAGTTGAAGAGGTCTATCTTTATTACGATGTTTTTTTAATCTATATTTTTTTTAACTGTTTGTTTTCTTTTCTTATTGATGAAACCGAGTCTTTCGAAACTGTCGCAAATTAACCTACTGTCGATCAGAGCGTCATTTACATACCACATAACTATGTGACAACGAAATTTCTCCTAAAAATCGGCCTATATATTTCTCACTTTATTCTTTCATCTTCCAACTTTTCTCAGAAAAAAAAAAATCACATGACTATGTAATAATATCTATATAATAACCGGTCTATACATTATATATTACCTTTTTGTTTTTCTAAAAAAAAAATACATATCATATAATTATGTAATAACATCTATGTAATAATTGAACTTTTCTTAAAAATCGACCTATATGTCCCTCACATTACCCTTTCATCTTTTAACTTTTCTCAAAAAGAAAGAAATACATACCACATAACTATGTAATAACCAAAGTTACCCCCTCATCTTTTAACTTTTCTCAAAAAAGAAAAAAAGAAATACATATCATATAACTATGTAATAACCAACCTTCCCTTAAAAACCGACCTATATATTTCTCACCTTATTCTTTCATCTTCCAACTTTTCTCAAAAAAAAAATATCACATGACTATGTAATATTATCTATATAATAACCGGTCTATATATTATATATATTATATATTACCTTTTTGTTTTTCAACTTTTCTAAAAAAAAAAAAAAATACATATTACATAATTATGTAATAACATCTATGTAATAATTGAACTTTTCTTAAAAATCGATCTATATGTCCCTCACATTACCCTTTCATCTTTTAACTTTTCTCAAAAAGAAAGAAATACATATCACATAACTATGTAATAACCAAACTTCCCTTAAAAACCGGCCTATATATTTCTCACCTTACCCTTTCATCTTCCAACTTTTTTCAAAAAAAAAAAAAAAAAAGAAGAAGAAATACATACCACATAACTATGTAATAATCAAACTTCCCTTAAAAACCAGCCTATACATTCCTCGCCTTACCCTTTCATCTTCCAATTTTTCTCAAAAAAGGAAAAAAAGAAATACATACCACATACATAACTATGTAATAACCAAAGTTACCCTCTCATCTTTTAACTTTTCTCAAAAAAGAAAAAAAGAAATACATATCATACAACTATGTAATAACCAAACTTCCCTTAAAAACCGGCCTATATATTTCTCACCTTATTCTTTCATCTTCCAACTTTTCTCAAAAAAAAAAAGAAAAAAAAGAAATACATGCCACATAACTATGTAATAACCAAACTTACCCTTTCATTTTTCAACTTTTCTCAAAAAAAAAAAAAAAAACAAACAAAGAAATCCATACCACATAACTATGTAACTATATAATAACATCCATGCAATAACCAAACTTTAGGTTTCCCTTAAAACCGACCTACATATTCCTCACCTTACCCTTTCTTTCGTTTCCACCCAGAAAAAACATAACTACGTATAAACGTCCCTTGTCTAATCGAATCGACCAATACAGAAAATAACAGTATACTATCCCGATTATCATTCGGAGGCTGAAGAATTTTTACGAAATCTTTACGAACTGGTCCAAAATATGAGAAAAACTGCGCGCGCGGGGCGAATTTCCGACTCCCCTCCCCCCTCGGCCCCTTCGATCGTACCTTCGACATTGCGGCCGGTGTTACTGCGTGTCCCGTGTTTATACGCGAAAACAGCGCGATACTCACTGATAGTCGTTTATTCCGAGACGATGCCCTTATATCTGTCTCCCACCCGCGCTGCGTCGTTTCTCGTTCCGAGCGGCGGCCCCCTCGACCTCTCTGCCCCCCCCCCCTTTCATCCGTGCGTGTTCTGTTACGACGCCCCCACTCGAACCCTAAACGCGCGCGATCCTCGCCGCGGTTTCCTCGAGGAGAAGGAAGGATACGAGTCTCACGTCCACGTGCCAGCGAAAGGACGGCTCGCTGGTTTCTTGCGGCCACTTCCGGTCGCGGCTCCCCGCTACACATTCGCACGATCGTGTTTCACGGCGGCGGACGCACGGTGGTTGGAACGTTGTTTAAATTTTACGGGGAAACTTTTATTCGAACGGGACAGAGACTTTCCACCACGGTGGAAACTTAGTTTGTAAATGTTAAAAATTGATGCGATACTGGCTGTAATATACGCTGCAGTATCGTGTTATGTTATACTGTCTGCGATATTACTGTTTCGAGACAGATTATCGTGAAATATCTCCTTGATCGTTGGATTAAATGTGGTTTGATACTTTTTTACTTGGAATTTAATATTCTTTCGATTTATGATGTATAGTCCAAAGTATATAATATAATTAATAGTATAGTATAAAAGTATAGTCCAAAATATATAGTATAATTAATAATATAGTATAATCCAAAGTATATAGTATAATTAATAGCATAGTATAAAACTATAGTCCAAAATATATCGCATAATTAATAGTATAGTATAAAAGTATAGTCCAAAATATATAGTATAATTAATAGTATAGTATAGTAGTATAGTCCAAAATATATGGTACAATTAATAGTATAGTACGATAGTATAGTTCAAAGTATATAGTATAATTAATAGTATAGTATAAAAGTATAGTCCAAAATAAATAGTATAATTAATAGTATAGTATAAAAGTATAGTCCAAAATAAATAGTATAATTAATAGTATAGTATAACAGTATAGTCCAAAATATATAGTACAACTAATAATATAGTACGGTAGTATAGTTCAAAGTATATAGTATAATTAATAGTATAGTATAAAAGTATAGTCCAAAATATATAGTATAATTAATAGTATAGTATAAAAGTATAGTCCGAAATATATAGTATAATTAATAGTATAGTATAATAGTATAGTCCAAAATATATAGTACAATTAATAGTATAGTACGATAGTTCAAAGTATATGATATAATTAATAATATAGTCCAAAGTATATAGTAATAAATAATATAGTATAACAGGACAATAGTAAAATAGTATAGTATAATAGTATATAGTCCAGTTAGAAAAAAATAAAGATGACCTTGGGGATTTCGAAACCCCTCGACACACGCAAAAAAAAATTGATTAATTTGCCTATCTTGACAACCCATCAGACAACTCTTGTACTAAACAAATTTTTCACTAGACCCGTGATAATATTAAGGTTATATCCCAAACGTGCAAGCCATCACGTGAATCACCCTGTATATACTTCCCCTGGCCGATTCGTATATGACCAACTTCTAACTACGTTGAAAATTCTCGCGATCATTCCAGCTCTCCACGAATGTTTTCGTACGCGAAATTTGTCCGATCTCGGTTTCCATTTCCAACGCGAGACGCGAGACGAAAAAGTTTCTCGCAACAGGAACGTGCTCAGAGGAGGAGCACGTTCTACGCGCGCGAGTTTCAGCCAGCCAGGGGTAAAAAGTCAATTCGACACAAGAAAACGAACAGGCGTGGCCGCTACCAGCGTTACGTTGCCAAGTGTCGTAATATATTAACCGAGCCGGAACAAAGCTCGCTGGTGGATAATAGGACACGGGCCTGGGTACCCAGTGGCCTCCTCTCCACCGATGTCTCTCGATGCAATCGCAAAACTCTCCCACTCCGCTGCTCCTCGCTAATGACCCTTTATCCCATTTTACTTACCCCAGCTTCGTGTGAAGCTGGCTCTCGCAACTGGCTCTCGTTTCTTGCTGCTCCAACAAACCTGCCCTGATGCCTGATGATACTCGGAAATGCCAGGAAAATCGGCAAGGAACTTTCGTAACCTCCCCCTAATTCGAAAGAAATTAAAACTGTGGTACTTGCGTGCATATTGCGTCGCGTTGTGATGATTTGCAACGGAGGAATTTCCCTCGATTTGCAGGAAGAGGCAAATAAGATCAGAAATTACCCTTCTGCGCTGGAATGAATTTTTTTTGTCCACAAAGTTGCAATATCTTATATTTTCTCAGGTATATTTAAATTACCAAGCCTTTAGGCAAACTAAATAATAAATTTATCACACTTCTTGGCAATTTCTATCCAGTGATGTCATTCTGACGTGTTCAAAAAGAAAGCGAGCAATTATTGTATATTGTATATATTATATGTATATTATATACATATATATAATATATAATATATTGTATAATATAATATATTATATACTATAATATATTATAGTATAATACTATACTACTATATTATATAGTATAATACTATATAATATATTATATAACATATATTATAATATATTATATTATATTGTATATTATACTATATTATATTATTATATTATATTATATTATATTATATTATATTATATTATATTATACTATATTATACTATATTATATTATTCTATACTTATATTATATAATATATACTATAATATATTATATTATATTGTATATTATAGTATATTATACTATATTATATTGTATATTTTATATTTTTTAGTATTATTGGGCTACAGCATTTCAAAGTCACAGTATAATACACTGTTGAATTCGTCTCGGCATCAGCAACAATCCCGTGATACCAAAAATACATGGTGCCGTTTAAAAAAGTCAAGGTGACCTTGACGTTTTTACGTAAAAAGCATATTTTGAGATTTGAGAATATAGGAGCATGCAGCCCACCAGATACTAAAAAAATTTTGTTTGAAACATTTTTTAATTGTACTACCGGAAATGCCTGAAAACTGGCGGCAAAAACTGTACACCCTGTATACGGTTTGGTCTCTCGTTATGGTCCGCGAACCAGTTGCCAGCGCAAAGGGCCTACGATCGTTAAAATTCCCCAATTTCTTTCCCCCCCCTTTTTTCCTACGTTTCTTTCTCTCTTTCTTTTTTTTTTTTTTTTTCTTTTTTGGAGGAGAAATTGATTACGACTCGAAACGACCTAGATGCGAAATGGAAATTTGTGCAAGAAAGGCGCGGCCTCTCGCGCGTTGAAATGATGCAACGACTGAGTATCGCCGACAGAGCTCGTTTGTCTACCCGAACGAATGGTACTGTTCCTTTGCACATTAAGCACGCCCGTATAATCACGGAAACGCTTCGTCCCCGTGGAAGTTATGCAAAACGACGACGACGGTTTCGCTCGTCTGGATTGCCAGCGGCGAAGTTGGTCAAGAGCGAACAATACCGGGGTAAAATCGGCATCTCCTTCGAACTGCCGATAAAAAGTGAAATTTCCTCTCCGCCAGCGTGCGTTCCAGTGGCAGCGTTGCAGCCACAATAAGGTGAAATTAATCGAATGAAATGTAACTTCAAATTGAAAGAAGGAACAATTCTTCGTATCGGGAATTTTATCAAAAAATTTCCACCATCTTAACTCAACGAAATGTGTCCAAACATCCTCGACTTTCGATTCAAATTTGCTAAGAGATTCGCGCCTGATCGAATCTTAGTCGTCCGAGTCCTAATCGATTAGTTTCGACGAGAGCAAGTTTCTAAATTTGTGAATAAAAGTCTTGCATAAACGAGTCGAGTTTTTTTTCTTTTCTTTTTTTTTTTTTATTTTTCGGGAAAGTATCCTTGAAAGAACAAGAGGTTCAAGATTAAGCAATCTCTCAGTCGGCGATTGCCAAATGCTCGAGTAATCCCATTAGACGTCGGATGAATGTCTCAAACAAACTCTCTCTCTCTCTCTCTCTCTCTCTCGCTTTCTTACTTTCATTATTTAAAGTCGCATCAACCATTTGTGTGAGTTATTAGCCTTGAAATTTGAAACTAAAACTTACAATTTGTTACATTATTTTAGGAGGTGTATTTAGTTTTGGAATCTTTTTTTTTATTTATTTGGCCTTGAAAGTAAATCTTTATTAATTAAATTTAATTTATTGCATCTTTAATATAGTAATTTTATGTGTGTCATATAATAATCTTATATAATATAATGTGTAATATAATATAAAATAATTTTTGTATGTGTAATATAATAATAATATAAAACAATCTTGTTTATTAATATAATAATTATCTTTAGTATAATAATTGAAATTAATAATAAATTGTAAGTTAATTAAAAGTAATGATAAATTATACAAATTAATTAATTAACAATTAAATCTTTATTAAAACTTAATTTATTGTGTCGGTTAGATCGTTTTAGAATCGTTTTTTTTTATTTATTTAGCCTTGAAACTAAATTATTAATTTATTAATTGAACTTAATTTATTGCATCTTTAATATAATAATTTTATATGTGTCGTATAATAATTTTGTATAATATAATATGAAATAATTTCTGTATGTGTAATATAATAATAATATATAAAACAATAATATAATATTATATTTATAATATAATATAAAACAATCTTGTATGTGTTTATTAACATAATAATTGTATCCTTAGTATAATAATTTAAATTAATAATAAATTGTAGATTAATGATAAATTATACAAATTGATTAATTAACAATTAAATCTTTATTAAAATAATTTATTGTATCGATTAGATCGTTTTAGAAGGTGCGTTAGTTCAATTAGGATCAATTCTTTATCCTTCAGACTGTCATTCAGGGGGGAACTCGTGTGTCAGTTGGATGTGTTTTCTGCACTGTCAGTTGAACTTTGCAACAAATCACGAATCGAGGGAGGATATTTGGTCGATTTTTTTCTTCTTCCACTGAAACAGAACAGTTGGAAGTCGTTCGAACTCGAGGAAGAGGACCTTGCACGCGCGAGGACGTAGTTTACAGCCAGTTAAACTAGATAATGCCCACGGTCAGGCGGCGTGAAAGGATCATTATGGGGGAGTAGCCT